ATATACCATTGAAGAACAAACTGGAAATGCTCCAAAAGGACATCGAGAGTTGCATATTTATCGTACATGCAGATTCCGTGTTGGAAGACGAGGAGGACGACGAAGAAAATAAATATACAAGTGGAAAACCTTACAAGGACAAGAAACCGCTGGCCGATCGTCTGGACGAGTACAGAGAGGACACGCAGCTGTTGACTAAGAATCCTAACGTTTTCAAGCTGCCGCCGGCGATGGAGCCCATTCCCTGCAAGCCGCTGTTCTTCGACCTGGCCTGCAACTTCATAGAGTTCCCCAACTTGGATGATAAAACTGGCGCAGCTAACAGTAAGAAACAGGGCGCCGGCATCACCGGACTTGTTAAAGGATTCTTGGGTTGGGGAAGCGACAAATAAATTGTACAATTTTTATTATCTTTCAATATAGTAAACATATCTATATAGAAGCTTGTGTTTTTATCCTATAGCCCTTTTATTAATAATTTCAGGTGAAAAAAAATACGTTTAGGTATAAACATCAACTATATTCAATATTTATCATCAGAACATATACCAATGGTAATATGTATGAAATATTGATTTTATAAATTACATGTATGCGATAGTTTCAAATCAATTATAGAATGACTGCAGTAATGGAAAAGTACAAAAGTTGTTTTTACAATTAAAACAGTAAACTAAAGCGAGTGATTTGCACCAAGTAGAAAAATATAATAACTAAAAAAAATATATTATACATGGAGTAACATTTACATTCAATGCAATATTAGTGTAAAACTCGAGATCTGCCTCTTTGTCTAGATACTATGCGTGCACGAAAAATGAGACCACATTAAGATGACGTTATCGTCAAAAAAATTTACACCTTGCAATAATCTAACGTGTGTAGGAATATAATTTAACTTAAAGAAAAGGCTAGTTTACGAATGATGCGAGTACATGTATACTAAATTTCAAATAAGAATGCATAAATCGTTTTATATCGTGACGTCATTGTCTATATCGAAACGTTGATAAAAGTTGGGTTTAGAATAATCATCATCACCAGCTCACTATACGTCCCCACAGAGGGGCTCGGAGCCTACCCTAAGTAACTAAGGTGACTAGGCCGTAGTCATTTACGTATATGTTGTTCATGTACATTCTTATATGAAACATATTTAGTACTCATATGAATATATACATTTATTTTAGTTACTAAAAAGTCATGTACCAGAAACAAGCAAAAGGTTTCACGTAATCTAGCAATGACATACACATATATTAATTATAATTATTTAAAGTGCGATTGGAAATTTTTATTATTTATTTTACCATTGTGACATATTTCAACGAAATCTAATGTGGCTAAGATGTCATTTATTTGATAATCACTAGTTATATTGAAGACAAGTATATAACTAACACGTAAGAAACTCCTAGGGAGATAATTTTACTTGAATTCTACAAAAAAGAATACCCTGAAGTAGTAGAACCAAACGAATTAAATTCCGGCATTGTATTTACAAAAGCTATGTACTCGAGTATACAAACTACCAAGTTCTTTATAAACATAAAATAATTTACAGAATGTGTGAGAAATATATATTTAATCATTCTTGAAAAAAACTTTGTCTGCAAATTAAAGGCCAAAAGACTCTGTACTCTATTCAAAACTGCCTGAGATTTTTTTAACAAAATTTAAATTATTAAATAGTTTAAACGATTGGTTTTTAAAATATAAAAAAAATTGTCAATCTAACATTATTCAACCTGTTAAATACTTTATCTAATATCTAATATAATTTTTGTAATAGGAATATAATGCATTATTAAAATTAATAAAATATATTATTATTTACATTTTTATCTGTATTTAAAAATTAAATGTCAAAAAATTCTTTATAAGAATAAGAACCCAGAAATAATTCGTATGAATCAAAGCAAACTTATTTGTAATCTCACGTTTTTAGACAGAGTACAGCACATAGGGACTGGCAATACCTCAAGCATGAAGCGTAGCATCTACAAAGTAATTGACAACAGTCATACAAGCATTAATTACAATCTTCAAATCCGAAATAAGCAAAAAAATCAACTGCAATTAATTTTTTTAGGTTATTTGCCAGCCACTATCGTCTTTTCAATGCAGAATGTGATGAATTCACTACAGGGGAGTATCTAAGTGGTAACACAATAGTGTTTGTCTAACGCGGGGCTAGTGCAGGCCAGTGGGCCGTGTCATGAGCAATACGGTCATCGGGGACAACCAGTTGTCCACAAGTAGTGCACACCTCCAATAAAGAACTAATATCTCTTCCAATCACTAATTCTTGTTGTTTCGCTATATCAGGCAATAAAGCAACCAAATCCGGGAATACATTCTCAAGTTGGGAACCCAAAACGGCCTGGCAAGACTGGTAGAAATCATCCGCACTTATACTACTGTCTCGGAATGCTCTGGATGCTGCTTTAAAGTTTTCAACCGCTGCAATATCACCTAAGGCAATGGTAAACTTCTTCACCAATGCTCGGTTTCTCAATTCAAAGTCCGGTGGTGGGATGAAAGTGTGGACCGGAGCAGGGAACACTTGGCCTGCTGAGTTAGTGAAAGTCATTCCGTCACATTTGACTGTTGGACGTTTTTGGTTAGTCACGCCATTTTGGTTAGCCTTGACAGGTTTCCACTGACGTTCAGGGATATGGTTATCGTTGTTAGCAGTCAACGGAGGATACTCTTTCTGTGTCAGAGTGAAGTTGTTTTTGTTTTTATTACCCGAAGTGACAGGAGCATCAGTTATAGTTTTAATTTTCCTGTCCGTCTCCGAGCTTTGGTTGTTGCTATTCACACTGGGTGTGATGTAGGCCATTTCTGTATTATTATTCTCGCATAAACCATTAAAGTGGTTTGTGTCAAATAGATTTTCTTTCTTGGGGTTGCTGTTTTGCTTCTTCTTTTCCTTCTTGGACTTAGCTTCGGTGTTGATTATTTTAGTAGTGGTTGTAGCTGGTGTTGGTTGCAGCTGGGATTTGATGACTTTAGACTTGTTTGTATTGGCAGGCAGTGTTGGGAAGTCTGCTACAGGGTTGAATGCGGGCGCCCTGGCGGGGGGCGGCGTGGGCTCGGCTCGGGGCTTCGGCTTGTTGTTTCCTTTGGAGACATTGATCCACTGCGGCGGGGCCGAGGGAGTAGTAGTCGATGTTAGCGCTGGAAAAGCCTCCATGATTTTATGATTTGTTTTCCTTGGCTGATGATTCGCAGGCTTGCTTTTAAACGCTTGCATTTCTTCACTATTGATCATGGCGACCTGTAAATAGAGATAATATGAAATAGAATAATAATATTAAGAAAATGCGCAAATATATCGTTTGAATTTTGTTTTATGTTTGTATGACCTTTGGTGGCTGTATAGTGCCAGATCCGATGCTGGGATGGTCGTCCCGGGGCACACTGGGGCCAAGGGAAGGGAAGTCATCATCGCTAATGTGACTTGGCTTCTTCTTGGCTGGTATGGAGATGCGGTTGGTGCTGGTCTGCGTTAGACGGAAGTTGCTAGCGCTCGCGGGCTGGCTGTGCACTTGGATGGACACGCTTGGCTTCGCTGTAACGGATTATACGGTAAAAAAAATAAAAATAAATGTAAAACTGAAAAAAAAAATATGTAGTGTACTTATTTCATTATATATTTTTATTTCGTTTATTTATACACAATATCTATTTATTTATATACACTACATTCGAGTCTTACACATATAATATTTAAATATCATAACATTATTATATTCAATATATATGTATTTACAATAACATATTTAGTGATATTAATTTATATATTACACATAAACAAAAATAACATATTAAGTTACATACGATTTCGGACAAACAGATTATAATTTTATATACATAATTTGTGCGCACCGCACGGATGTCAAACGCATCTATTGAAAGAGTGCAAATCATGCGTCATCCGAGCTGTCACCGGCAGTCGTCGCACACCGCCATACGTTGATGCAACGTTCGCGCTTCACTCTCGTTCGCTACCTCACATTCTTTGTTTATGTTCAGTTTAAGTTTTAATTGTGTTCCGTATTTGTTTGCTCATGTGTATGTGTCTGTGAATAAACTGTTGATAAATTATATAGTGGTTATTACTTCGCCGCCCGGCGACGCTCACACATAATAACCTCTATAAATACATTATTTTTTATTTATTACTGTAAATATTGAATTGATTAAGCAATAATAGATATTTTACTTACAGTTTCTAAGTATAGCAGCGGCGACGGGCGCGTGCGGGCGCGGCGCGGGCGGCGGCGCGCTGCGGGCCGTGCCCGAGCCGTCCAGCGCGGGGAAGTTCTTGTCATTGCGGGTCAGACCTTCAGCACCTGAACAGTATTTTACGTGAGAATTCAAGACTCGGAAAGTCGGATTGATCCATACTAATATTATAAAGAAGGAATATTTGTATTTTTGTATGCATTTAAATAACTTAAAAAATACTGGGCCGATTTCAAAAATTCTTTCATCATTAAAATCTTGATTGAGTTGGTCGTGATTATCAGTGAGTAACATAGAATGTCTTTTATAATTTTTAGTAATTTCGCGCGGGCGAAGTCGCAAGGAACGGCTAGTTAGTACTAAAATTTAAAAAATATGATAAGCGCTTATTGCTGTTTTTAAAGTAAAACATTGTTTTAAATTTTATTGCTAGAAAGAAATGGATAAAATGCGTAAAAAGTGATATTAAAAGACCTTTGTAAGCCCTGGAGGGTGCC